AAAAAAGTTTGGATTGGCACACTAAATGCAGAAAAATATCCACTTGTGCAGTGTCTTTTAGTTAAGAAGTGTGTTTTGTTATTACAATGTTTTATTTCCAATTATCCCTAGTTATGGTGAGTTGAGTCTTACTGGCTGATTTATTCAGTGTTGAAAACTATTCCATAAACTGGGTGTCTGCAGTACTGCATTAATTACGTTCAGTTAGTACCAAATTTAATGTTCACTGATTAATTCTCAGTTAATTAATCTACAAGTGTGAATTAGCTCGATGTTGCTGTAGCCCAGGAGGGAATAGACATGTCTGTAGTTGCCCTATATCAGCATCATATAAACACACTCTATATGACTTAACCCCTTAGTGACTAGGCCATTTTTCTATTTTCTTACCGTTAAGGACCAGGGCTCTTTTTACATTTCTGCAGTGTTTGTGTTTAGCTGTAATTTTCCTTTTACTCATTTACTGTACCCACACATACTATATACCGTTTTTCTCGCCATAAAATGATCTTTCTAAAGATACCATTATTTTCATCATATCATATAATTTACTATACAACATTTTTTATAAAATGATGAAAAAATGATGGAGCAATGCACAGTTCTACCAATTATTTTAAATAAAATGACAATATGAAATAGTTAAAAATATACAATACAAGAGGTTGTTGCTGAACATTATGTCATAAAGAACATCCAGCATGTATTAGAGGTAATTTCGAGCTCATTTTTTTTTTTGTGGTCATTGTTAAAGAGACACTATAGGCACTTAGACCACTTCATCTCGTTTAGGTGCAGTGTCCCAGTTCTCATTAACCCTTCAATGACATGACAATGGACATCCTCACGCTTTGCATGAGAGCATCCAGCATCTTGAAAAACCATGTAGGAAATTACTGAGTCAGTGCTTTCCTATGGGGAAGGTCTAATGTCATGTGCTTTGGGCTCCCACAGTTTGCTGATGTTGGCAGAGGACTTCAGCACTGGAATCAGATGAGTTCCGACTAGGGTTTTAAACTTTATTTACAGGCAGGTGGTGAGGAAGCAGGGCAGAGAGAGTTTTGTATTACATAGAAACATAGAATGTGACGGTAGGTAAGAACCATTCAGCCATGGGCATCCACATGTGGGGGAGCATAATAGTAACGACATCCATGCTTGGTCCCTATTTGACAGTGTCATGAAAGGGAAGGGGCATAGTCATTATCACATAAAGCCAGGGTGAATAGCGTTTTTCTGACACTATAGTGTTCCTTTTAAGCAAATTAAAGGAACTTTCTGGTCACCATAACAACATCTAAATGAAAATGCTATGATGTCAGGAAGCCACTGGGTGCTCTCTTTCCTTTAACCCCTTAAGGACCAAACTTCTGGAATAAAAGGGAATCGTGACATGTCACACGTCCTTAAGGGGTTAAACCGCTCTCAAATGGTTTAACCCCAAAGGCTTCCTCCAGCTCCAGGTCGCTCAGTGGTATTCAGCTTTTGAAACGGAGTGTCAGGAAGTGCAGATTGACGTCAGGCATAGGTGCCGCTAAATGGCTAGAGTGGACAGTTGACGCTCTAAGCCAATCGCTAGTTCCCGGTTCATAATTTTTTTAAACTTTTTTTATGAATGGGGAGCTACTTATTGGCTTAGAGTGCCAGCTGACCGCTCTAGCCAATCAGCGACACCCCTACCCAGGGGCACTCTGTGCTTCCTGACACTCAGTAAATAAAAGCGAACACATTAACACTGATATTTATTTATTTTAACCTGGGGAGATGAGAAGGTCCAGAGTTTCTCTGCCAGGCCCAGGTACCAAAACCTTATGATGTGGTGTCCAGAATAAAGAGGAAGGTTCACGTCATTTGTCCTTCCTGCTTCAATCTCCTTTTCTTCTCCTTCATTTGACAGTCTTCTTTTTCCTTCTGACACGGTCTTCTATCCTTGGCTCCTTTTGTTCTTTGCAGACCCTTCCTGCTCCTTCTAACCCCCCATGCCTCACTTCCCTAATCTATAGGCTGCTGCCCCCCCATGCCTCACTTCCCTAATCTATAGGCTGCTGCCCCCTCACCCCCCCATCCCTCACTTACCTCATCTGTAGGCGGTCTTTGTTGCCTGCATGTGCTGCTCCCCTGCGGTTTCAGTCAGCAGAGAGAAGCAGGGATAGATGTAGCTTCCTATCCCTGTCTCTCTCCATACACAGCGCCACCTACTGGCCGGCACCGTATTACATTTCATTTTAAATCTCACACGAAAAATAGAACAAGCTGAAAAATCCAGGAGGGGGTCAAGTGCCCCCCCTTGCGGATGCCCATGCATTTGGTCCATCTAGTCTGCCCAATTTTCTAAATACATTCATTAGTCCCTGGCCTTATCTTATAGTTAGGATAGCCTTATGCCTATCCCATGCATGTTTAAACTCATTTACTGCGTCAACCTCTACCACTTCAGCTGGAAGGCTATTCCATGCATCCACTACCCTCTAAAGTAATACTTCCTGGTATTTTTAAACCTTTGCCCCTCTAATTTAAGACTATGTTTTCTTGTTGTTGTCGTTTTTCTTATTTTAAATATAGTATTCCTAACACCACAGTGTTCCTTTAAATACCGTGAAGCAGAAGGGGAAAAAGGAAGATATCAATAAAACAGACAATAGAAAAAGGTTAGAAAGAGCAGAAATATATCATGAGAACAAAGCGTGACATGGGTTGCAGTACACTGGATAAGCCTCAGGATTCTTTATCTTAGAACGGTGTTGAAGAGCTAAGATGACGATGTTTTTCCATAGTTAAATATTTATGGAGTTATTCACTAAAATGTGAACTCAAATTTAAAGTCAAAATAAATAATTTAAAATCTTCCAAGTTGCTGGCTGGCTCCCAAAAAAAGATTCGAAACCCACGGAAAATCGCTCTACCAAATGCCCATCCAGCCTTTTCGAGGTGATATCTGCACTGAGCAACGAACCCTGCACCACCCGATACCACTCAATGCCATTTTTCTCAGCACCCAACCAGCCCAAACGGAGGCGAAAAATCGGGGCCTACCCCGCGCTGACCATACCAAGCCTGGAAGCACTGCTGGCTAGACCCACAGAAAGGGAAACAGGCTCGGAACCTGCACCCACGACATCCCTCACTCCAACCCACAGGCCAGCTATGGGAAGACGCTCCCAAAAGCCTACTACGGCAGCAGACACTAGGGACATTGGAGCCATGCTGCAAAGGCCTACACTGGCAAAGCCCGCTCCCGCGGAAGGCCCGCGAAATACCCCGCAGGCCCACCCGCCCGAACAACACACGCTAGAGGAGCCTCCGGACCTCCTAACAACACCAGCAACACCCCTGGACCCCCCCATAGACTCGACCCCTACCACCAAACATGATCTAAAGATATTACTGGCGGAGATCCAGAAAACGCTGGCAGTGGAACTTGCTCCCATCAGAACGGAGGTAACAGCCATCAAAGACCGGGTGAAAGCCTCAGAGGAGAGCATCTCTGACCTACAGGGCCACCTGTCCACCCTACAAGACTCAGTAGACCGGGTCTGGACCCTGCAAAGAGCCCTGACAAACCAAGTAACTGCCATAGAAGACAGGCAACGCCGCACTCACATAAAGATAAGGGGAATACCCACGGCAATCTCAGGGGAGGAATTACCCCACTATATAAGACGCCTACTGGCAACCATACTACCGCACGCCGTGGCCAAAAAGCTGTCCATAGAGGGGGTATACCGCTTACCCAGCAACACCAAACTGCCACCCAACAGTGCTCGGGACGTTATTCTCCGATGCCTCACAGTTCCTGACAAAATCCAAATCATGTCGGCACTCAGGGGAAGAACACCTCTGACCTTCGAGGACGCATCTCTTACATTTTTCCAGGACCTAACAAAAGGCACACTCATGTGGCGAAAAACCCTCGGACCAGTCACGAGACACCTGCAAACAGCAGGAATGACTTACAGATGGGGGACAGGAAGATCCCTGACGGTGCAACACAACGGAGCCACACACTCCATCTCATCAATGGAAGAAGCACCCACCTTTCTCCAGACACTGGGACTGCGGACCACAGACACTGGCCAAACCTCAGCGACATGGGACCCTGAACATGTTGTACCCTTTGTCCCAAGAGCCCAAAGCTCCCAGGCAGCCGTGACATGACTGTGCAGATGTGGCCAGAGCCTCTCGGGCTGGGGGTCCACACAGCCAAAGGAGGCACACATATAGCACAGACAGGGGACCTGAAAGTTATAGAGATGCTATAGTTATGCTTAGATAACGCAAGGTTTTCCTCTTGACTACTTATGCAAACCTTCTTTCTTTCCTTTTTGTTGCCGCTTGCTTTGGGTTAATCCACGATGTTCAATGTTTTATTAACACCTGGGAGACCTAAACCCAACTTGTTATACCGCTCAAGGGCAGTTATAGCCACTGACCCAGCAGGGCAAATACCCACTTCCGTTCCCCCCGCCGCCCCCTTGGTTAGGGGTATTCCACTCAATGCATAGCAGTGCACTACTCTCAGATCTCACGACTAGGCACGCACAACACACAAGCTACATCCTGATGTAGCTTAACACACACATATATGCCAGGGCACACCCCACTCACCTTGATCTTTCCACTCAGCGCATATATGATATCTCACGTACTAAGTAGGGAACAATCTTGCTTATAATCAGACACATATTAGACCCTCCTGATACTTAGCTTAGAATATACCTGTCGTTGTTAATAAAAGAAAAAATGTGCAATGTTTCTCTCATGTAATGCATGTATACTAAACTTAACTACATTGTCAGTGTACAACGTTTGTATTAAGAAATGCACGGAAAAATAAAGAATATAAAAAAAAAATAAATAAAAAAAAAAATCTTCCAAGTTATCTACGCTTCAGTTCTGCCACTCTGACTTTGAATTTAACACTCTGAATTGTCACTTTAGTAAATAACAGTATTTTGTAGTTAGTTCCGTTTGTAATTCTAAGCAGTGTAGAGAGAGAAAAATAAGTGAAAGCATTGTAGGTTTTTTAATGGATAAGCACATACTTTACATAGATACATGTACATAATCTGTGTCTTTCTGATAATCTTTTATTATTAACTGGAGGAAATTGCACAAGATGAACAGGGCACATTTTGATTCCAGAGTGTACTACATTTTTATGTGCTACAAGTTCTGATTTTCCAGTAGTGAGTACAGAAAGCTATCAAAGGCTTATTCCCACTGGTTAATAACTTACACCATAGTAGCACAACTTCCTGTTTACAGACTCTGATGTTATTGTGTATTCTTAAGATTACTTCGAAATTTTAAATGCAGCAAAACAAACAGTTTAATAAAGTCAAAGTCCAGGCCTAATTTTTATGAATGATAGAATTCATTACAAAAAGACTCCCTGCTTTCATATTGTTCATAAGGGCCTTGAAGAGCCCTGACACCAAAGTCCACCATGCTCTGCTTTTGGAGTACTCGTCCCAGAAATATAACAGAGTTCAGAAGACAAGTTACTGGTTTTAGCAATGAACACTGCATTTCATATTGCAGTAATTTCAGTATAATGGTAAAAGCATAACAAGTCTTTTTAAAAAGTCCAGGTTTAGTTTTATTTTTAAAAACCGAATTGCAGCTTCAAAATGGGGGAGGCTCGAGCTTCTCCATCAAAGATTTTATCCATGTTGTGCCATTGATCAGCTTGGTGGTGGCAATTATATACTCTGTTCCTCCATCTTCCAACTGAGACAGGAAGCGTAGAGCAGCAATTTCTGCAAATGTAACTCCACCCAGGAAAAATACCAACATCACCTTGTTCTCTCCTTGTTGACCTATAATTATTATACCAAAAACAGAATCAGTGGAATAGACAAATGTATCATGAATATTTCATTCAATTTATTAATAAAGTAATGCTTCCTTCCTTTATAGAGTTGCTCTATTTACAGCCCCTGCATCTAAGCTAGTGTCAAAGTACACTAACTTCTCTTTTCGTGCACACAAGGCTATAATTTATCATCTACATACACAGTTTGAGGTGTTCATGGCAAGCCCTTACAACTGTAAGAAATATATCCTCCATTAAAACAATGTGTGCACCCTTTATCCCCAAATAACTTTAGAGATAGGATGGCTGCACCAAAACAAGTAAAAATGGACAGTTACGTTTTTTCACTAATCCAGCAGGCAGGGATTGCCGTTCTTCAAACTGGGGTCCGGGCAGGATTTTGAGTACTTCTTCAATGCTTCTCCACCCTGGTCGAACGAGTACCTGTGCTAATCGGACACTCAGAGGAGCATAGCCACTATACACATAGGAGATGTCGTTTGGATTCTAGGGTAGAGAAAAATATAATGGATAGGCTAAGAAATCTTGTTGCAATAAAACCATCCACAGACACATTTAACAGACTACTTGCCTATTTAAAGAAAACAGACTAAAGGAGCATGTTGCTGGTGTGTATTAGTGTGCTTGTAAAACTTTTTGGGTGTTCAACTCTTGCTTATACACTATTCAAAATACATCATTAAAATATAATAAATAAATAAATATATATATATATATATATATATATATATATATATATATATATATATATATATATATATATATATATATATATATATAATATTATTGGTATTTTAAGTCCTACAAGTTCAGATTTGTGTATTTGGCAGATATTTGAAGAATACACTTTTTGGTGATAGTAAGAACTCCTTTACACAAAACTTGTTGTTTGGGGTCTGAATTCTCATAAGCACACAAACATCAAAAGAAAATGCTGCATCTAAAGTTGCTGTGCATGGACCCATACAGAAAAATACACAACTGCATGCACTCCCAGAGTACCCATTCATTGATGGATTAAGGGGAGCATTTATGGGTTAATTCACAAAACAATGCGTAGTAGTGAACAGAAATGCATAAAAAGTGAGCAATGCAGGGAATTCCAAGTGAATTTCAAACCCACAGCCAAAATAGCCAAATTGAAATTATAACTAACTAATTAGGAGAGTTTTTCCAGATTAGCCATTTTAAACTTAAATTTCAAATTCACTTTAAGTTACCTGCAATTCCCACCTTAGTCAATAACCCTGTTTGACTAAGACAGAAAACCTGTGGCTATAACAGAACTGGAAATTTTTTTCAAATCATTTTCAATTCACTGCAATTTTATGATTAGTAGATAAACCCATTAGATGTCGCAGAGGATGTGATAAACTACTTCACAAGAATAGGATGCTCTATGCCATCCTGTAAGTAGTGGGCTATAAAGCTGTTAGGATGGCATGGAATATCCCACAGTTTCAGTACCAGCAAGTTTAAATCCTCACTTCCACTGGGGATTTATAGGAAAGCATTGGAGTGGCTAAAAATCATAAATTCTGATGAGGGGGGCCAGCGCTGGCAGACCCATGCAGCACTGGAAATAAGGTATGTTTTAACCCCTTCCAAGGGGCGGCAAGCCACCTAAATGGTGGTCTTTACACTATAGGGTCAGGAATACAAGTTTGTGACGAAAGTAACCTCACCACTGGTTTTTGGAGGGGCATGTTTGCCAGCCTCCTACCCTGTGACAAACCCTATTTAAAAACACCAATTGTGCCTCTTGGACTTATAACAGGCTCTATTTGTTTGTTTACCGAACAACCGCACGAACCGGAGACCACCCTGGAGCTTGTTAAGCTTAATTGATACATTATTGCAATTTCCACCGCCGTGGTCTAAGTGTTCGTCTGGGTGGCCAAAATTCCTATGGCCGACCACAAGGTGGCTGCCATCTTGTCCGCATGGACCAAAACCGCGAATAGACTTCAGGGGGACTTCGACTCAAATGCCCTCGAACTTTTTTCATCATGAAAACCTCACGGTTCCTGGTCGGTCCTCCAGTGGCACTTAAATAAAGGAAAAGAGACAGCGCCAGACAACCAGTAAGGCAGCAACCCAACAAGGGAATCCCCCCAAAACCCTAAAATACAGGATAAAAGCAAAATATAAAAGGAGGGCTGCGCCAGAATAAACAGTGTCCAGTATCAATAGTTATTGAAGATTTTTATGTAATTTTAACACCATGGGACTTGTCTCCCCACAAGTAACCCTATCCTTTGTTTTTTTTTTTTGTTGTTTTTTTTGTTTTTGTTTTTGTTTGTTTTTTTAGTTCTCTTTTTCTAGCTTCCGTTTTTAGATCGCCTTATGGGGAACTACAATACCCATAAGGCCGTGCGACTATACTGCCGAAAACCGGAAGTGATGATTATCACATGACCAATTGTGTTTTTAATTTTATAATCCTTCTCATCTTCGTTTTTAATAAAAAACCACTGAATATGCCTCATTAACCTATTTACTATCTGAGAATAATTTAATACTGTTAATTTGAGATGTAAAAAAGTATCTTTATTCTGATTGGCCGAAATTTTTTGGTGCCAATTTCAAATTGAACTATGTCTATATAAACACTATCTGCCAGGTTTTGTATTATATTCCATTTGATAAAGTCTGTTAGACGAAACGTGTTATGGAAATTTAATTTTGTATAATAAATATTAAAGTTTTTGGTTAACTGATAGTCCCAACTACTTTTATTTATACATGTACCCTGGCTATTTATCGTTTTAGTTCATTGTTATATTTTATATATACTCTATTCCAATTTTAATACTATCTCTACAAGTTCCTGACAACCAAAGAAATCCATAGGTGGGGATTATTCCACCAGCGCTGACATCAAAGAGCAGTTGGTCTGCTCTGTACTTGTAAGTACGTTTTTTTTTTTATTCTCTTTTATAATATACAGTTATACAGAGAGCACTATTTGGCTGTTTCTGTTTCCTTTGAGTTTTGGATACCCTGACGAACCCATCATAAATCCCATAAGCGGGGATTATACCGCTGTGTGCGCTTTACCCTAGAGCTGGACAGAAGCTCTGGGAATTGTGAGTTCGTTATCATTAATCAATTTTTACTTCATTTGAACCGTACATTCTGCACCATCGTTTGTTCTTTCCTTTTATCTTTTATATATTACCTGAAGATCGCGTTCCTGTACCTAAAGACGACAGAGAGGATACCTTTTTAGGTCGGACTTTTTATCTTCAATAACTATTGATACTGGACACTGTTTATTCTGGCGCAGCCCTCCTTTTATATTTTGCTTTTCTCCAGTGGCACTTAGCCGCGATTCTATGGAACTATTTTCGGCTATGGGACCATGCTTGCGGTCGGTAAAAACGATTAGTTCCATAAAATTTCTGAACCCCTGAACTGATCTAGGTAATTTTTGGATATGATGGTCACCCAGAACAGGGCCATCAGGGGATGTAACATTTGTGGGGTTTTATGTATTTTTAGGGTACTTTTGGGGTGTTAAAAAATAAAAAAATAAAAAAAAAAAAATGTTTTTTTTCTGTGCTTGGAGATAATTGGATTAGAATTAGTACAGTTACTGATCCAATTATCTCCCAATTAGAGGGGAGGGATTGTGTGCTGTGTGTGGGAGTGTCGTGCCTTGTAAACTTATTGTTATTGGTCTGTGAAGTTGCAAATCAGTCCCCCACAAAGTCCCTGTGGGCATACCCCTTGCATGGGAATTGTCATATAAGGCCAGTGTGGCACCAAGAGAGATTGGTTTACCCCTTCATGAAGTCTTGGATCATGTTTGGGGGCTTGGAGAACTACATTCTCTCTGGGGATTGCTATAATCACTATACTCCCCTGAGTATAATCACTAGCTCTTAAAGGAGCTTTTGCTGCTACGCTCTCTGGACTAGGAGAGGTCTACCCACTGGAAGCTGGATCCTGGCCTTAGGTCCTCAGTGTGTGGAGGATGGCAAGACTCCAACCAAGCTGCGGCGGTTTGTGGGGTTAAGTTGGTTATGGTGTTCCAGTGCAGTGCTTATGGTACTCGCAAGTACTAGGAAGGAGCGATTGACGGAGGTACCCGTCGGGGGGCTAGGCAGTCCATCACAAAGTTTGTGTTCCTGACATTACAGTGGTCCTTTAAATGGTCATGGTGCCAGGAGTTAGAATCTGTATGTGCAGTGTTTTTCTTTGAAACGCTGCAGGTTTGGAGGAGAACCACAGAAAGGGTTACTGTACCCAAAACCAGTGTTTTAATAAAATACTAATCGTTTTGTTAGAGTAACCTATTGTTTTGTTTGGTATAAATCTAGGATATTAAAAAGAAATACATTTCTGTCCTTTAACCCCTTCCCGACCAATGACCTACCAGGTACGTCTGCCAAAAAACGGTCGTAACCGTAACGTACGGTTAAGGAGTCAAAGAAAAGATTACCATCAAAACATAAAAACATAGAATGTGACGGCAGATAAGAACCATTCGGCCCATCTAGTCTGCCCAATTTTCTAAATACTTTCATTAGTCCCTAGTCTTATCTTATAGTTAGGATAGCCTTATGCCTATCCCACGCATGCTTAAACTCCTTTACTGTGTTAACCTCTACCACTTCAGCTGGAAGGCTATTCCATGCATCCACTACCCTCTCAGTAAAGTAACACTTCCTGATATTTTTCAACCTTCTAATTTAAGACCATGACACCTTGTAGGGGTAGTTTTTCTTTTAATTAGTCTCCTCCTTTTACGGTGTTGATTCCCTTTATGTATTTAAATGTTTCTATCATATCCCCCTGTCTCTTTCCGCCAAGCTATACATGTTAAGTTCCTTTAACCTTTCCTGGTAAGTTTTATCCTGCAATCCATGAACCAGTTTAGTAGCCCTTCTCTGAACGCTCTCTAAACTATCAATATCCTTCTGGAGATTTGGTCTCCAGTACTGCATACAATACTCCAAGTGAGGTCTCACCAGTGTTCTGTACAATGGCATGAGCACTTCCCTCTTTTTACTGCTAATACCTCTCCCTACACAACCAAGCATTCTGCTAGCATTTCCTGCTGCTCTATTACATTGTCTGCCTACCTTTAAGTCATCAGAAATAATCACCCCATAATCCCTTTCCTCAGATGTTGAGGTTAGGACTATCAAATATTCTGTACTCTGCCCTTGTGTTTTTACGTCCAAGATGCATCAACATTCAATGTCAGCTGCCACAACTGACCATTTTTCTACTTTACCTAAATCATTTGCCATTTGGCTAATCCCTCCTGAAACATCAACCCTGTTACAGGGCCGTACTGGCCCACCGGGATACCGGGAAATTTCCTGGTGGGCCGCGGCACCTGAGGCCGGGCTGACAGCCCTTATCAGTGATTAGGCTCCTGTGATCCCGGCCGGCCATGTGTTAGCTGTGAGACCACACAGGGCCCCATGGGAGCAGGGGGAGCCAGGCGGCCGGCACAGCTCACACATGGCCGGCCGGGATCATTAAAAATTAAATAAATAAATTGTGGCGGGGCGGAGCCTATCGTGCAGCGGGGGCCCTGGTTAATGCATGAAGCAGGAAGGAGTCCCTGCTTCCCCAACAACCAGCCTCCAGGAGCCAATGGATGTGGAAGCAGGTCGTGCGTGTGTGAGACTGTCTGCTGTGTCTGTGAATGTGCGTGTGTCTGTGAATGTGCGTGTGTCTGTGAATGTGTGTGTCTGTGAATGTGTGTGTCTGTGAATGTGTGTGTCTGTGAATGTGTGTGTCTGTGAATGTGTGTGTCTGTGAATGTGTGTGTCTGTGAATGTGTGTGACTGTCTGCCTGCCTGCCTCTGTGACTGTCTGCCTGCCTGCCTGCCTCTGTGACTGTCTGCCTGCCTGCCTGCCTCTGTGACTGTCTGCCTGCCTGCCTCTGTGACTGACTGACTGCCTGCGTCTGTGACTGACTGCCTGCCTGCGTCTGTGACTGACTGCCTGCCTGCGTCTGTGACTGACTGCCTGCCTGCGTCTGTGACTGACTGCCTGCCTGCGTCTGTGACTGACTGCCTGCCTGCGTCTGTGACTGACTGCCTGCCTGCGTCTGTGACTGACTGACTGCCTGCGTCTGTGACTGACTGACTGCCTGCGTCTGTGACTGACTGACTGCCTGCGTCTGTGACTGACTGACTGCCTGCGTCTGTGACTGACTGCCTGCCTGCGTCTGTGACTGACTGCCTGCCTGCGTCTGTGACTGACTGCCTGCCTGCGTCTGTGACTGACTGCCTGCCTGCGTCTGTGACTGACTGCCTGCCTGCGTCTGTGACTGACTGCCTGCCTGCGTCTGTGACTGACTGACTGCCTGCGTCTGTGACTGACTGACTGCCTGCGTCTGTGACTGACTGACTGCCTGCGTCTGTGACTGACTGACTGCCTGCGTCTGTGACTGACTGCCTGCCTGCGTCTGTGACTGACTGCCTGCCTGCGTCTGTGACTGACTGCCTGCCTGCGTCTGTGACTGACTGCCTGCCTGCGTCTGTGACTGACTGCCTGCCTGCGTCTGTGACTGACTGCCTGCCTGCGTCTGTGACTGCCTGCCTGCCTGCGTCTGTGACTGCCTGCCTGCCTGCGTCTGTGACTGCCTGCCTGCGTCTGTGCCTGCCTGCCTGCGTCTGTGACTGCCTGCCTGCGTCTGTGACTGCCTGCCTGCGTCTGTGACTGCCTGCCTGCGTCTGTGACTGCCTGCCTGCGTCTGTGACTGTCTGCGAGTGCAGCTGCCTGTGTGTGTGACTGCCTGCGTGTGTGACTGCCTGCGTGTGACTGAGTGTGCGCATGTCACCACTACCCTCAGTGCCTGAGCCCGTCTCCACAACACCACTACCCTCAGTGCCTGAGCCCGTCTCCACAACACCACTACCCTCAGTGCCTGAGCCCGTCTCCACAACACCACTACCCTCAGTGCCTAAGCCCATCTCCACAACACCATTATACTCTGTTGCTCTACATAATTCAATTTGCCTTTTATCCACAACTCTAAGCCTACCAGATCCTACAGTAATCAGTCTGCCATTCCTAGTACGTCTCTGCGGCAGTGGCTTTGCAGCAGTTCCAGCTTGAGTTTGTTTACCAGATAATTTACAAATCTCAGACTTCAAAAAAATACAATCCTGCCGCAATATAGAGAACAGTCTACAGATCCAAATCTCCATAAAGTGGAACGTGAAACAAATGCATAACTATTACACTGAACTAAGTCTGCCATTTTAATGAGGTGAATAATCTAAATCAAACAAATCTTAACTTTTTTGTCCTCCTGTAACCTCCAGATTACACACTTTGAAGCAACAACCAAGCTAAATTGTTTTTAAGTATGGGACCCGTGGAATTCTAAAAAAAAAAAAACGGTTTTATTTACACACTTGAAAAACCCATTAACAGTGGTATAAGCATCCATTACACACAAGCTTTTGCCATTGAGCTTTAAGATGGAATTCTAAGCTCCTACAAGATTGGTATATAAAAAGGTAGTTACAGACCGATTTACTTTTAAAAGCGGGCCAAATCCATGAAACTGCATTTACTTATTTTCAGACTTATTGCTATGTGTTTGATACCAGGCTCACCTGCTCATTGACATCATCCATCCAAAGGCGCAGCGTCTTCCGGATTGTTGGATAATTATTACGGCTGCTCGTCTGAGGTTTTAAAAGGCCAGCCTTTTCCAGATTGTGTAAAGTCAATATGTGTTCATATCCATAGGTCTATCAAAAAAAATAAAAAATTATATACAAATAGGTCATGGACCATTAGCAATTGAAACAATAGATTCACTGAAAGACTCTTGTACTGTAATTACCACAGCTGTTCCAGGTTGGAAGCAGACTGAATATCTATTCAATCATGCCCGGTTCGAATACTTGTGTACTGTACGTCCTAGACAAGTCACAGTGTGTACACAAACACTTCACAATTTAATTTGGCACTATGATGAACCAGTTTTACCATTGTGGAAGCTCTGAATCTGCTACAGCCAAGACAGATCTCATGTAAATAAGACTTTAGTGAAATAAAGTCAAAACAACTGAAAAAATTATCACGACTTAATGCTGGGATGCGTTTCAGTGTAGCGCGAGTTTAAATGCAGGGGTGTATTTGTATATAATGCTGGGGTTTGAATGCAGTGTGTTTGTATTTCCATACATGCCAGTATTCATTGCCAACACTACACACATCAAAATTTACATTGTTTAAGTCACCCAACTGTTTGTGTCTTTTGGTTGCAGGAGGGTGGTTTTCCCAGGGTCGAATAGGATATGGCTGTGCTAGTCGCACTGTTAAATAGTCACAGCACATCACTGGGCCTCTGATGAAATTTCCATTGGGTATCCATAACTGCATGGACCACCCAATAGGCTCCCCTCAGCGTGCAGGCACCAATGCAACTGCACTGAGTGGTAGTTCCACCACTGTTGAATGCATGTTTCTTATAGCATGTATAGGGAATTAGCGGTTAACCTCTTCCCACCAGGCCACTTGGATTTAATGGATAGTCAGTGATTAAAAAGCAGTTAGAAGCTGCCATAGAGTATAATAAGAACAGTAAGCAGCTACTTAGCAACTGGTTTACGGTAGCAGCAACCAGTAACAACTGGTTACTACCAATATTGATCTAGATACACAACATACTGCTCTAACAACTGCACCATTTAAACTTTGTTTTAACTATATTGCTTATATCGTCAAACACTTGCAGTTTGGTAAGAGAAGAGCAGTGGTCCCTCTACCTTTGATAGTCTAGGTAGTGGGATCCATAAAAGGTTACCCAGAAGATGCAGTGTACAACTCTGTGTTCTGTTGGCATGACTTTGACAGTGGGAAGAGCAACAGCAAATTTACATGCATTCTATGGACAATCTATAACCATGTAAAGAGCACGTATATCACCATTTATTTTCAGTTTCTCTTACTGCTGTGTAGGGTGTTAATCAGGATATGTAGGAAGGGCTTATGGGAGGTAGTACTATTTTTTTGCCAAAACACATACTAAAAATATAGAATTACTTGGAGATATATATACATATAACTTAAAACTGCATAGCAAACTTAAAAACCATACCTGCAAAATCTCTCTCTTGTAATAGTCCAGCACTTTTGGTTTCAGACCCATGTTGCACACTGACTGCAGGCAGACTAACCGTAAAATCGTTATTAATGGATCTTTCTTAGCAATAGAGTCCTCTATGTATGCATTTACCTAGCAAACAAGCACATATACAACAGTTTAATATTTATTTTTTTCTTGTCAAAAATTAAAGGAGCACTATAGGGTCAGGAACACAAACTTTTATTCCTGACCCTATAGTGTTAAAACCACCATCTAGCCCCCCTCCCCCCCCCCCCATCCTTGCCACCTTAAATATAAAATATTACTTGTATTCAACTGTGCAGCTCCTGGCTCTGCCCCTGTGCCTCAGACCTGCCCCTGCCTGCTGACATCAGAAGAGGTGGTCTGAGCCAATCACAATGCTTCCCCATAGGATTGGCTGAGGCAGGAGGCAGATCAGGGGCAGAGTCAGCACAAGTCAAACACAGCCCTGGCCAAACAGCATCTCCTCAGAGATGAATTGAAAGTTCAGTATCTGCATGCAGAGGGTAGATACACTGAATAACAGTGCTACTTACTCTGCAGCAATGCCCAAGGAAACTGCTATGGAGTGGCCAGTAGAGTTATCACTAGGCTGTAATGTAAACACTGCATTTTCCTTGAAAAGAGTGTTTACAGCAAAAAGCCTGAAGGAAATGATTCTACTCACCAGAACAAATGCATTAAGCGGTAGTTGTTCTGGTGACTATAGTGTCCTTTAATGGATAAGACAATCAGGTACAATATGCAATAGACTAATGTAAGAATGTAAAAATGTCACTTGGTGTAGATATTACTAAATGGCTTAAAATCAAATTTTTAAGAGCTAGGCATTTACACATTGGCTGACGAACATGCTTTACTAGGGGTTTTTCTCACGCACTGCTGCTTTGTCGAGTTTAATATAGCAAAATCCAAGTTAAAAAACAAACAAAAAAAAACCAGTTTAGAGGAATAGAAAACTGACCTTATCTGTGTCAAACCCAGACATAAATTCTTGTTCCACAGTCAAATTATCGAAAAATGCTTCTGATGCTGCAAAACAGAAGGTGTGAAATGCAGTCACCTATAGCAGAATGACAGATTTTATCTGCTACAGTTTTACACACAAAAAGCAGTTTGGTCAGATTTTACAAAATTCTAAGGTGATGTTTGGATCTCTGGGCTAGTCATTTATAATGTTAAAAAAAAAACTCCCCCAAAAAAACCCCACAATCAGTACAACACAACTCAGTTACAGACAAATAACTGAAAGATCAGACTATTCAATACTATGCAAGGCGAACAATAACCTACCTCATTACAGAAGCCATTTAGTCTCCTCATTATCACATGATGCAATATATCTTTATACTGTAAGCTCAAGGGATAACTAGCAAAGTATTCTGTACAAAAGAGCTTCAGTGGCTAGATCTCACCTCATGGGCAGGGACCTCTTTACCACTTATATTGTACCATCTTCCTAATCAATTGTATAGTGCTGGTGAATACGTTGGCACTTAGGAATATTTCATTATAATGTGGGAGGACATTTGTAAGAGGCTATCACAGGTTCCTGACATAGCTTTCTGAAGACCTAAGGGTTGAACTCCTACACAGATGGTGTAGACCATCTTTAGATCTGTACACAAACTTATTTTTAGAGTGTGCACAGCCCTGAGAGTGTTTGACCAAGAACTGGAAGATGGCCCTTCCTATCCAGATAGATGCTAAACTCTGGTAACGGATTAGGTTGGAAAATCTGACAGGACAATTAAAAAAAAAGAAAAAAGAAAAAAACAAACAACTGAGAAATGTATCAATGTGTGGTCTCCTTGGATGGCCAAGTTCTCCTCTCAGTGAATGAACTTTAATCTGCTCTTTTCCTTTCATCAGTTAGTTAGGGTCATTGCACTGGACTGGAGGCAGATGAAAAGGTTATCCCTTTTTCATTCTCCTATTCTCTTGCCAAAAAATATCCTTTCACCATGGTAATTCAGTCTTTTTTTTGGTCTCAAGTAGTTGCTTTTTTTTTTAGGGATGTATCTTGTTTTGGACATGTCTCTTGACGCATGTTTTCCCGTACAGACCAACTGTATGCATACACATTTAATTTTTAAAAATTAAGTCATTCTTTATTTTGTTGTATTTTAAAAAAAATCAAATGCTTTAATTATAAAAAAAATAATCCAATACATATGAAGTAAATTAATCTGAAAAGAATAGTTTTAGCTTCTTACTGGTTATCTCCTTAATGAGTTCAGCTATAGACGTGTGGTTTGCTAAAGATGCTCTCTCTGCTTGCATATGGGGTAACTGTGACACAAACTGCTTGATCTCTCCCACAGTTTTTGCACTGTGCCTTCCCTTAGATGAGAAAACAAAATATTCGTTTTATTCTAAATGTAAACTGCAAAAAACAAAACACATTTTTTATGTTATGTTTAGCTCTCTCCCACCCCCCTTTCAAACAGTTCTTTCACACAATAGGAAAAAACCTTCACAAAATCATACAATTTGAGAAACCCACTAAATTTTGGAAGACCTACCATAAACTGGTTTGCAGTTCTACAAAATACAAAAGTTAGATTGTGTCTCAGGATAGGGGATTAACCTTCACCACCTTAACAGTTAAATGCAATTGTTTAACAGTTAAAATGGGTTAATATGTAGTCTCCTAGATGGATACCATGGGCAAGTCTTGACATGAAGGTGACAATGATACATGGTGATCAAATCTCAGAAGGCTGCACAGGATTTTAAAATTTATTAACAACCATTACATTCATGCATGCCCAGGTTGTAAAAACACAATCCCCCCCACCCCCACCCCCTTAATTGGTCTGTGGCATCTTTAATTCATGAAATGGATTAAATTATAGGTCTTTTTTTATTATTATTTTTTTATTTATAAATGCAGGTCCAAATTACCACCACAAAAATGATACCACACTCAAATATTGGAAATAAATGTCAAGACAATTATGTACTTATTTTTCAGAGTTTAATTGCCATTTGCAGACCAATATGTAGTCTAAATTACAGGGTGATATTTGTCCACATGCCTTTTGTGTCAGTTGTGAAAAAAAATAAAGTGAAATTACAAAATAAATATTACACACAAATGCATAAAATCAACTACATATCCAACTGAAATTAGACTCCACCCCCATACATTTATCAGTTACAACATTAAACTACTTATTATTGTGTAGGTCCCACTTGTGCTGCCAAAACAGCTCTGATGTGTTAAGGCATGGACTCCAAAAGACCTCTGAATGTGTCCTGTGGTATCTGGCAAGACATTAGCATCAGGTCCTTAAAGTCCTGAAAGTTGTGAGGTTGTTCCACCATGGATTGGATTTGTTGTTCCAGCACATATCACAGATGATGAATCGGATTGAGTTCTGGGGAATTTGAAGACCAAGGCAACACCATGAACGCTTTCCTGAACAATTTTTGCAGTGTGGCATGGTGCATTATCCTGCTGAAAGGGACCACACCATTGCCATAAAGAGGTGTATGTGGTCTGCAAAATCTCTAGGTAGGTGGTACATATCAAAGTAACATCCACGTGAATGCCAGGAGTCAAGTTTTTTTTCCCAGCAGAACATTGCTCAGTGCAGAACACTGTCTCCGCCAGCTTGCAACCTCTCCACAGTGCATCATGCTGCCATCTCTTCCCTAGGTAAAATGATGGACACGCATGAGGCCATCAACCAGGAAACCTTCCATTGTTCCATGGTTAAGTTCTGACGCTCACATTCCTATTAAATGCGCTGTTTATTGAGGATAAGGGTCATTACGGCCACTGACCGGTCTGAAGCTACACCGCAAACTGCGTTTCACTAAGTGTTCTGACACCTTTCTATCATAGCCAGCATTACATTTTTCAGCAATTTCAGTTACTGTAGCTCCTCTGTGTGATCGGACCAGGCGGATGTAGGGATAAGTGTAAATGCTCTTACTCACAAACAAGGAGCCAAATTAACACATATGGCTCTCATGGGAAGCACAGTGGGACTTACAATATGTCCCCGTCCCTGTCCCCTCTTGGGGTTGGTGGATATTCTAAGTAGAAACAGGCGTTGAAACTTCTTTTCAATGAAGATCCTTTATAAGGCATAGGTAAAAGCGAAATATAAAAAACAATAAAAAGGTTTCATTCAAGTCCTTTGAGTCTCTGGCTTATGCTTGAAAAGTCCTCTAGTGGTCCGAAACTAGTATTGCCCTACGGTAGGGGCTTCCTCAGTCGGTATGATGTTCAAAGTCTTTTTTTTTAATTTTTTTATTTATTTGTGAATATGATATACAAACAGGTTTGCACTGCCCAAACAGCTGGTGCAAATTGATCATCAGACAAGGTAGAACAGCTGTGTGGTATCGAAAAAAACATTGCACATTTTGGTGCTTAATGAGCCGGAGCCACTGCCCCTCTCTCAAGTCTTTTTAAAGCCAGTCGGTAACTCTTCCGGGTCTGTGGCAAAAACCTTGACTCCTGGCCAGTAACTTTTCCGGGTCTGATCCTTTCCGTTTGGAATGCATCGTGCGTTCCACTCCATGTGGACTTCCTGGTCAAGCCTCTTGCGTCATTGGAACGCATCACTTATTGTTGCGTTCTACCACATCAATACGCATGCGTGGGACTAGGTCCATCTCGTTTGTGTCAAATACAATACACATGTCTATTGGAGTACTTAATGTTAATGCAACATATAAATGGTACTGGAATAAGTCAAAGTATTCAAATGTTTTGTTTTTGGACAATCTTTTTTACATTTTGTGCCATCATTTCACATTGTTTTCGTTTCATCACAGTATATCGGTATGGTTAACATACGGCAGCATCTATATTGCTTTTAGACCTTTGATAGTATAGACCCTTTTCCATAACTGTGGGCTTATTAGATGCAATACAAAACTTCTTTCCACCCCATGGTAGTTTGTGATCTTTATTCACTGTTTCATGTCCAGTAAATGTTTTGTGTGTGTGGTTGTCGGTCTACAGGTGCCTATAGTAGCATCGGTTACGTTAGGTCTTGCCTTTGCAGTCATGTTACGGGAGAGCCCCTAGTATACACATAGCCCACCATAGGAATATCTTCAAGAATCCCCGTAGCTCACGTTATGAGATCATTTCTCGGTAGAGTCCAACTCCATGGTCATCCACCTTTGCACGGGAAGGGAATATAAGCTCAGAGACAGTCTATTGTTTTGTTGATGGGCAGCTCTGGGTCTCAACGTGGGCATCTCGGCTGCGGACTGGCTTCTCTAGGGGCAGTCTACAAGGGCTCTGTGTCAGCTGCGGTCTGAGCAGTGAGCTACAGCCCAAACGGAGCGGGGGAGCAGACTTTACCCATGAGTCTGTGGCCGGAAGTCCCATGCATTGCCAATGTGGGCATCAGGAGTGCAAAGCCTTGAGGCCATGACTGTAGAGAGACCTTTGTGGGGTGTGTGGAGTTCCCAGGGTTCTGACATGTCTTGTGTGTGGGGTGGAGGTTACTGGCTGTCCAAGTGTCCGTGCATGGTTCATTCCTCTGGGCAATTAGGTCCGCCTCTTCGTCCAATGTTGTTCTGAAGTGGGCCAGGTCGACATCCAGCAGGTCTCTCTGGGCTGTTAAGTGGTTGGGGTGGGCCCTCTAAGATCTAATTTGTTACTGCGACTGCTGGTAGGCCAGTTGTGCGGAGAAATCTGGGCACATCGTTGGGCCATCTGATAGTGTGCCAGGTGTTGCAGACTTTTGCCTGAAGGCTAAATGGGAAGCCCCATTTATATAAAACCGCTTGTCTAGCAGCATGCGAGTCAGCGGTCTAAACACCCCTCTAGCGTCTAGTGTAAGGGTTGACCGGTCTTAGAATAGCAATACCTTTCAGTCCATAAAATTGATATTTTGCAGCGGGCAGGCAGCTTTCATGATTGCGTCCTTCAGGAAGGAGAGCAAGCAACAGATGACGTCTCCCGGTTGCCCATTCCATCTGGGGGGGGGGGGCTCTTTCCAGGCCAAAGTCTTCCTGTGCCGACTCTCCCAAGAGTTGCATGAACAGGCAGGTAAGTGCTTCGGGGAGGGCCTCTCCCGGAGCCTCATCAGGCCCCTAATGCAGATGGTGTTCCATCTGCCCCTATTATCTAGGTCTTCAACCTGTCTGCGCAGTTCAAGCAAAACCGTTCCCTGCGGTTTCAGCAGTCTGCTGGGTCTGTATTGTCTGCTTCCAACTCCTTCACCCTAGTTTCTAAGGCAGTAAAGTCCCTTTGTACCTCCATGATCTCCTTTCTGATAGCCATCCGCATTGCAGTCAGTGATTCAGCTTAGTCTGTGCGGGTAAACATGTTGGAGATGGAGGCTAGGTCAGCTGAGATGTGTGAGAGTCATCCTGCCCGTCAGGCCACATGCAGCGCTCGTGATGCGCTCAGATCCCGGCGCCATCTTATTTGGCTCACAGGTGCTTCTCAGGCCTTGCGGTGTGACCATAAACTCATCCATGGGCCCGGAATGTCTCGGGGAGACAGCGTCAGAGGGTCCTGGGGTAAGCACCAGTTTGGATTTCCTCATTGTGGCGGTCACATAACGTATTATAGAGGCTTTAATGAGCTGGGGCTTAGGTGGAGCTACATTCGAGTGCGACTTACTCCAGTGCCGGTCAGGCCACACCCCCCAACACTCCCTCCAATTTTAAAAAGAAAGGAAACATTGGTACCAACGACTGCATACTGGGAATACCTTACAAAACTTTTTTGAAGATGCTCTGACCTTGTCTAGCCATCATTATTGGCCCTTATCAAAGTCACTCATATCTTTGCACTTGCTCATTTTTCCTGCATTCAGCTCATGAAATGAAAGTACTGGACTGTTCACTTACTGCCCAATATATCCCACCCTTGACAAGTGACACTGTACCAATATAATCAGTTATTCACTTCACCTGTCAGTGGTTTTAATGTTGTGGCTGATCAAAGAGTACAGTGGGACCTCTGTTTACAAATGAAAATCCATTGAAAATAATGCCCCAGTTTCCAAAAAGTTTTCGCAAAACAAAGCAAGTTTCCACACGATTCATTGCACCTGGGAGGTTTATAGCACTGCCCCCTGCATGCGCCTTTTGATAACACGTGGTGTCGAGTGTGGAGCGGATTTTGCATAGAGTTTTGGAGCCATTCTGGAAATAGTTTTCAGTTGTTTTGGGACTTTTTGGTGCATTTCTCAAGCTGTGGAAAGAAAGGGAGCTGAGCTTTGTTTTGTGCATGCCTTTTATTGTGTGTTCTGCATTGTGGGTTGGTTTCCATGTCAGCTCATTTTGACTTTTTTCTGACCTCCAGAACAGATTATTGGTTTTCAATGCATTCCTATGGGAAACCGCATTTCGGTTTACAAATTTTTTTGCAATAAGAAACGTCACGGAGAACGCTTTAAATTCGTAAACTGAGGTCTCACTGTATACATAATTACAAAAGGATGAAATATCACTAATTGTATACTGTACAGGAGGGCAATCTAATCATGACTGGATATGTGGTTAATTTTACCAATCCATTATGGTATACATATGAAATGTGCTTTTTTTGTTTTGTCTGTGTAAATAAAGTTTTTCCTATTTGCGTGTGACATCATTGCAAGTGACGTGATGATGCCAGGGGCGAGTCTTGCTGCGAATGGTGGGCAAACCAGCTTTAAACAGGCCGCTCGTGTTTTATTCACCACCAGGGCCTTTGAAGGGAAGGGACCTGAACCAAGAATCAACTACTACAACAGCACGACCTCAGTGAACTGTAATCAGCACTAGTTTACACAAGAAGCAGCCTTCATGTAAGACTTCAATTTCTTATCTGGACAACTGTGTGTATCACAACAAGCATTGGAGAGACTGAATCAACATTTAAGTAACTCAGACATTCCAACATCCAAAATGGAGAGATCTAACCATTATGGAACTTTTTTTGAGTACTCAAAGAATTTGCTTCTTTTTCTTTATGCACATAAGCCTTAGAACTCTAGAGGGTGTGTGTAGAGATACATATATAAATGTTTCTGTTTTACAATTTGTCATTTTTTCCCCCACTTTTTGCTCTTTTATTAAACCTTCCCCCCCACCCCAAAAAAAAACAAAAAAAAACAACCTTTTTTTGAAAATGCATAGACACATAACATATGGAAGAGGAAAGAACTCATTGTTAGACCAACTCTATTAAGGACTTACAGGTCACAGTTTTTGAGGTATTATGTACATATTCAAGTGAAAATGTATGACAAATCCTGACCCAGTCTCAAATCAATAAAGTTTTCTCTTTAGGATGTGGAGTGATTTACTTTATTCCCTTCACAGACAACAAATTTGATGGATAACGTCTGATACAAAAACCTTTTATGAGCATTTATTATTTGAGTGTGGTATAGGTTTCTATATTTTTTTCTATGGTTAATTTTATGCTTTAATTTGTACATTGTTTTATTTTATACACTCACGATTTTTGTTTTTACAGAGTTGAGTGCAGTTAGTTCTATTATTTTTGCCCCCAAATATCCAGAAAAGTACATAATATTATGTGAATATTTGAATAATGTGATGGCACTCACCATAATCAGGACATGCTATTGTCAATAACCGCAACAAAAATAATTTTCTAACAATTAGCTTTACATTACATTAAGTTAGATATAAAATAAACACACTTTACCCTAGTTCTTGTTCAAACCGCTTTAATCCTCTGTCCTGCTCAACCAAGTAATGGCTTTAAAATATGGACAAATACAAACGAACATTGGCATTCATCAAAACTTTTACCCAATAGGCACCTATTACAGCATTAAAAGTTATTATGCTGGCTGAACATGCAGCAGTAGGCCAAACTATGAATCGCCTCAATAGACCAAGTATACCATCAAAGCAAATTACTCCCATTCTCAGAAAATACCACCTACCAAACTCATTCATTTTTCAATTTCTACGATTACAAAGTGTTCTATTGAATCATGTATACAAACCATCTGAACTAAAGAATACCCAAGCCAAAACCATCACACAGGTGCATGACAGGTGTTGGAAGGCTCTGGGCAAACCTAAAGCACTCTCCACATGCTATCATGCAATAAGGCATCACATCTCTGCCCTATTCCCATTTACAGAACAGTGGACTTATGAGTGCACACAATGTCTATCGGATCTAGAATGGGGGTCCTCAGTTAATGCCCTCAAAGGCGTTACAACCTGCTACTCTCATATAGAAGCACATAAACTCATAGGTGGTACTTCACACCTAACAGGCATAAAATATACACCAATATCTAAGCTATTTGCTGAACATGTGGCACAGGACTACGGAACATGATGCATGTATGGTGGAAATGTAAGAAAATCAGGTCATTATGGGATACAGTTAATCTATTTTCGCAACTTCATTTAATAGATAGACCCATTAACTCGTCCATGAGCTTGTTTCTCCTCTTCCCCACAGTTACGCCCAAGAAAACCAAACAAATAGCTTTCATAATTGTATAAGCAGCCAGAAACTTAATAGCTCTTAACTGGAAGGCAACCATTTGCCCATCCAAAGCTTAACTATTTGAAAAAGTCCATGAATATAATATTTATGAACGTATGTCTCTTGAGGGAGCAACACAGGGTTTGACCGTTACAGAGACATGTAAAACAGGTTTAGACCACTTTTAACATTCAACCTAAACCATGTGCTCTGCTTGTACTCGCCAACAATGGCAAAACATACACTATACACTAGGACCTTGTCCCTCTCTGCACCTTGGTTGGAAAGTTAGACACTAAAGAAGATCTGCTCAGAGCAGGCTGGCAAAACAATATAGCGGCACGGTTACCAAATCCCACAGTTACCACTCCCTCTATTACCTTTGTAACCAAAAGTGGACCACCACAACAAAGCAATTCATGTACGTACAGCAAATTCCAAACCCACCAACATCACCGGTATAACCACCTATTGATACGTGACGCTTGTACACATGCCATATTCTTGGCACGACTTAAGTAGAACCTCCCATACATACGTAGGTTATCAAACCACGATCTGACCTTGGCGTGTTAAATTAAAACCCTTTACTCTAAGTGGGGTGAATAACGCCAGTAAGTTTCAAAAGCTACATGTGAATATGGTATAATGTTGTGAACAATATCCCTGTCACCCTTTTGTATTGTCAATACCAACAAACTTAGTAAAACATAAATAAATAAATTTAAAAAAAAAATAAAAAAAATAAAAAATTTCGAAAAGCAAACATATATGGACAAATGTATTATTGCATCTACGTTAGCAATTCCAGCGAGTAGGAGCCAGGCACATGTGTATCAGATACCCCTGGTTTTAAATAAACTTCTTGAAAACTGCCAAGAATTGGGCGGTGCTAGCAGCACCAAAACCTCTACATGCGCATGTAGTGGATATGGTGCTTGATAGCAGATAGGCTGTTCCTTTAAGAATATCTACATATCAGCCATGATTAATCAAGTAGGGCAAAAGCAAAAACAAACGAAAATCAAAATTATCCCAACACAATAATGCAACACATCTTATGTATCTTCATACATGTGTAAATGCATTTCTGTCCTTTATTATTGTATAAAATGCCACAGTAGTGCTGTGTAAAGGGAATTTTAGATTATAAGTAGTTGGTGACATTAGTGAATGAAAGGTGTGTATTTAAGCTCCATACCTCAAAAGCTGCAGATATAATTTTCGCCTTCTTGCTCAGCACCGAACCAACAGCATTGAAGTTTTTATCACGGATCTCTGCGTACAGTTCTTCGGCCGAGTTTAGCAGCAGTTTCTTTGGTTCTGTAGGGAGGTCTTTCCCACCCTCACCCTGCTTTTTAGGAACAAACTTTTCAGGAGGGAGCTTCACATTGCCTATTAAATCATAAATAAATGATCAATATTTCTGGTTTAGCAATTCCAGACTTCGTTAAGGCTATAGTAAAACCATGAAAACACACAATGTTTTGTTAGGGTTTGCCTGTTGTACAGTGCAGCAGAATATGATTGCACTATATAAATTATTGTTATTGAAAGTTTCCGTAGTAAACTGCTTTATTTTAGTTCTCTTCGCGCCAGATTATCTTGGGAACTAACAGATATAAAATAAAGTAGCTGTAAGGCATTTATGTACAGGAATGTTGGCATCTGCTATGTTAGTTGTCCTAAAGTATATTTGATGTTAAGACAAGACATTAACTATATCAGCCAGCATTTAATGGCAGCAGGGCAGAGTGTCACAGGATTAATGCAACATACTATTCTGAATTCCATAGACTTCATCAATAAGCCCTTCGTATGTAAGTTGTGTTGCTAAAGGTGTCAGCAGGTCCACGTTCCGGTCAAGAAGCAGGAGTGTATCAAACACAGGAATTATCTGGTTCTGGCTGCCACCCAGCTCTCTCTTCATCCTGATCATCATGTTTGCAACATGCTAAGGAACATAAAATGTTTGTGACAAATTTACTATTGTGCTCTTATATATCGATTAGTACAGATAAGAAAATTACTTAAGAGAAGGACACGCAGATCTGTACAAATCATTAACTCAACAGCTGTTTCACATGGAAAAAAATTATATATAATCAAAATATAAAAATAAATGTTTTAAAGTTTCAAAATATTTAAAAAAAAATATCTAAAATATTAAAATCAAGTGAGAAACTGACAAAGTAGAAAATTGCAAGGATAGGTGCAGGTATAAGTGTTGCTGTGCTTTCTGCTGTGGTAAGAACACAGGTTCAAACCATGTGCCATGGCTAACTAAAGTGCATCATGTCACTTAAAGTGTGCCAAGAACAGATGGACTTCTGGCCTAGCATAGGCTAAATTTAGTTCTCAAAGGGAACACTCCCGTTCACTGTAGTGGTTATGGTGTCAGGAGCACCCTAGCTGCCCCATTGCAAGGAGTAAAACCATTTCTGAACAGTATGACATGCTATCTGGATCTGCCTAGCACAGCTCCCTGCCTCCATCGCGAGAGCAGGAAGTGCTTTCATGCAAACTTTTGTTAGCTCTCCTGAGCCAAGCTCTGCAGTGCTGATGCGCAAAGGTAATTAACAAAGCCCTGCATTGCAGCTTCAAGCTCTTTGTAGGTTGTAGTGAAGGCGGGTAGCAGCAACCTGCAGACCCCAGGTAAGAAGTCAAACTGTTAAAAAAAAAAAATAAAAAGAAGAAGACGGGGCATCAGGGAACTCATGGCACCATAACCTCTATGGAAAGTTTTACTGGTCTATAACATGGAGTGTTTAAGTATGTGTTTTTTTTATTTTATTTAAAGGACCACTATAGGCACCCAGACCACTTCAATGAAGTGATCTGGGTGCCAGGTCCATCTAGGATTAACCCTGCCTGCTGTAATCATAGCAGTTTCAGAGAAACTGCTATGTTTACATTTGGGTTAATCCATCCTCTAGTGGCTGTCTCATTGACAGCCGCTAGAGGCGCTTCCACGCTTCTCACTGTGATTTTCACAGTGAGAAGACGCCAGCGTCCATAGGAAAGCATTGAGAATGCTTTCCTATGAGACTGACTGAATGCGCGTGCAGGTCTTGCCGCGCATGCGCATTCAGCCGATGACGGCAGAAGGAGGTGATTCCCTAGCGCCGAGGGAGCCCAGCACTGGAGAAAGGTAGGAATTTAACCCCTTCCTCACCCTAGAGCCCGGCGGGAGGGAAACCCAAGGACCCTATAGAGCCAGGAAAACGAGTATGTTTTCCTGGCACTATAGTGGTCCTTTAAATTAAATATGGTATATATTTTCCAATTGAGATGTTTTTAATAACTGTCACTCAAAAATTTACAGTAGAAACAAACCAGCATATAGTTATACAGGTGACCAAACAATGGTTTTTATCCCGATCATACTATGTTGCAGAAAGAGGTCAGAAATATAGACAGTACTCTGAGGTCTATAGCCAACTCAAATAGAACACTGCACTATACCAGGAGTGATGCACCTTGGGTTTACTCTGGTCAATAGTCATGAGAGGGGACCATATTCCTTGAATGGTCGATAGGGTATGATTGAGTCTATGCAATATTTCTTCCCACTTCCTAAAGGAAGCATGTTGTATTCTACATTTGTAATATGTTGTAGCTTGGACCCATCAACCACAAAGTAGTCTATTCTCAAATAGATTCCTGGAGGAGTAAAAAGTAGTCCCTAGTAGAAGCATATTCACTTCCCTTCAATCACTCCCTGAGAATGCCACATTCTGCAAATTACTCCCAGTTTGTCTAGCCAATTGTTATATGTGGATTCGTGTGAGGTGGACGTACCCACTGTGGTGTCAGTTAGTACTTTGAAGTCCTCAGTTTACTACTGTATGAAGCCATTTAGATCATATATCATCACCTTTTATAATAAGTTTTAAATAAAAACCTCTTTACTAAAAAATCTATACCATAACTAAGCACTAAAAGGGTTGGTGGCAGTGGTTGAACTAACGCGGTCAGAGGGCAACTTTGTCGGTGTGCGCCTGTGTATCTGTTTGTCTGCAAGTGTGTGGGGAGGGGGGGGGGAACTACAACATATGGGAGGG